CAGTAGTTATATAGCCTTCTTACCTGTACACCGCTCTACATTAGTAGAGTGCTCTAGCCTTTCTAAGAGAACTTAGTGGCGCAAGGTTAGAGTAGTAAGTATAGTGTAGATGTGGTGTCTAGACTATATCTTGCTTGTGTAGACCGCTTGTCGCACGGATTGTTTGTGATAGCTCTATCTAGCCCTTGCAGTCCACCACATGTTGTAGGCAAGTCCTTAAAAGGTAGGGCCCCAATAACAAGGTAGCCGCTTAGGGATAGGGTTTCATCCCCTATTGTCTCACCTATCGCCTCTTGTAAGCAGGTGGGTGACAAACCCTTCATAACTACTATCTTTACCAGATATCATTGCTATCTAGATCCTCTCTACCCAAGTTACATATGCTCTTTTGTATCATCATAGGACAGTCTTGATCCTTAGTTAGTTCACTTCATGTTCTCTGTGGAAATATGATACCTAGAATACTCCTGGTGAAGGCTACATTGATAACCGTACGCTTGTGGTTTACCCGTTTGTCACTTTAGGTGTCAACAGCAGCCTTCTCTGCCAGCTCAGATTGCAAGCCTGAGCAGGACTTACACACACCCAACAAGCCAGATCTGGACTTTAACTCACCATTCTCATCAGGCAAAGCAACATACTTAGATTGCAAGTCAACAAGGGTAGACATGTGAATAGCACATGCTTCGCATTCAACCTCGTCAGATACTACCACAACACACTTCTTAGCAACATCAAGCTCCTTCAGCACAATTTCTAGCTTGTCCTTAAATTCTTTCCTCTCACGGGCAGCATGTTTTAGCAGCTTATCTTGACTAAGCTAGGTGTCATTCATGGTTTCAAGCTTAGCAACAAGATCGTCGATGGAAGGGGTTACCTCAGAAGTGTCATCATCAATAGGAACCTCGTCCTTGCTGGCCTTCTCCTCATCATTGGCTACCATGGCGCAGAATCCTCCATGGGTGGAGTTGGTAACGAAGCAGAGCCCACTCAGCTTGTCCTCACACTTCCTCTCGGACTCATCATCGCTCAAAAGGGGAAGAAGTGTGGTTATCGTCGGAGTTATTATCGAGGTCGCTAAGGGAGAAGAGGAAGGCGCGCTCTTAGGCCTTGGCCTTCTTAAGGTACATCTTCTTGAGTGCCTCCCTATCAAATTCTTCCTTCGACTTGTGCTTGCCGGAGGTGTACTCACACTTGTCCTTCCACATGCTGGCGTCGTGCTTGCTAGAGGAGTGCTTGTTTTTCTTGGGGCAGTGGGTGATGAAGTAGTCGGGGTCTCTATAGCCATAGCAACCATCCTTTGGACCACCACCGTGCCGGTGGTTCATGCAGTTGTTGTGAAACCACGTGAACCGGTTGATGACCAGTGCCAGCTCATCGTCCCCAGGTGCCTCCATCTGCTCCTCTATAACATACACCAAAGAAGACAAGGCAAAGGAAATCTCTAAAGGGTTAGCTGAAGAACTTGAACCATTACTTGAGACCGAATCCATGGTCTGTGCAGATGGGTTCTTGATTTTGGATTGGGTCTGGTAATCGATTTCGATGGACTTGAGCTTGCTGAAAAGCTCATCCACAGTGAGGGTGTCGTAGTTAGCAGACTCAACAATTGCGAACACCTTCACATCCCAAACCCAATGATCTAGGGCATATAGTAACTTGAGAGCCCTCTCATGATCGTCATAGGGTAGCTGCGGCTTGTTTGCCTGCATCTTGTTCATAATCGTCTAGAAGCGAGAAAACATAGCATCGATGGACTCTCCATCCAACTGAGCAAAGTTCTCATACTCACTTTTGTATGTCTCAAAGAGTCCGGTTTTGACCTATGCAGTTCCCTCATGATAGCTCTGAAGCCTCACCCAGATCTCTCGAGCAGTAGTGAGATCAGAAACCCGCTCAAACTAAGAAAGCGAAAGACTAAAAAAGAGAACACTACGAGCCTTGCTATTAGCATTGTGCTAGTCAATCTGCTCCTGAGTGATACGAGCACCAAGCACAATGTAATTAGCTTTCTCACAAATCTCCTAGACCCGCCAGTCTATGCCTTGAAGATGTGTAGACATGCAGATCTTCCAGTAGGGGTAGTTTGTTCCATCGAAGAACGATGGCTTGCCAGAACTATGCTCCATGTCGCGTTCGTGGATCACAGACCGATTAAGGTGGAATGATTCTTAACCGGTTCTGATTCCAATTGAAGGACCGAAAATGGTGACCAGAGGGGGGTATATGGGAGCCTCAAATTTCTTTCCAAATATTTAGCTGCTATCCCAAAATCACCGCCAAACACGCGAAATAAACATCGTGATGTCTACGACCCAAATGAGTGGGTGGATGGTCCCTAGGAACACAACGGGACACCACACATGGCAAGAAACGCTTCCCAAACCAAATGACAGAAAATGAGATGCCCAACTCCTATAGAGAAGTGAGTTCCTGAATCTAAAATATCCAAGCCAACTGGTGATGAGAGTACCTAGATAGGTTCCTTGGCTCGATGGAAAACCAATGCAAAAAGCGGATCGCAAAGCAGAGCTCAAACACACAAACCGCGGAAGAACCAGCACGTCAGCAACTCACACCGGACCTATCCACGAAATGCACCGGACTTGTCCGATAAACATGACCTCAGAAAAGCTGCTAAACTGAGCGCAGCCAGCACATACCAGACACGTCCGATATGAATACCAAAAATGTCTGGTATGCTAAACAGCATAGAGCGACTTTGGGAGAAAAATCAAATGGTGTCAAAAAATTATGAAATTTTAACCAGAGCTTCTAAACAACTCAGGGAAGATCTCCACCAAATTTCACCTCCAAACTCGAAAGTTTGACCTACCAGACACGTCCGGAATTCACCCCGGATATGTTTGGAATGTATGAGCAGATTTTGGGAAAAAATCGATTTCAAGTCCAAAACTCGACCAAATAAACTCGGATCGACTTGAAATTTGTAAAGAGGTTCCTAGGAGTGTTGAGAAGATATCTTCAAGACATCAACACCCAAAAACCAACAAATCTCAAGCAATCACAAAATCCATCAAGAAGAATGGGATTTCCTCAAATCGTACTCGAGTCGAATCTACCCAAACTAGTTGGTGGGAAAGATTCTTAGATGTCCTTGCATGTTTTGATCCAACCCAAAACACCCCAAAAGCTCGGATTCAAGGAAATCACCAAATAAGAAAATGGGATACCGGGAGAGGAAGAACACCAAAACCAAAATCACAAGAACATGAACTCGATTCTTGAAGCCCAGAGGACACCAAGAGGTTAAGGCCTCTCTTCCCACTTAGAAAGATTCGATTACACAGACAGTGGAGTCAATTCATCTGTGGACCTAAAGAGCAAACCCTAGAGGGGGGAAACTAGAGAGTGGAAATGAAAATGCTCAAGAGGTGAGACTGAGTGGAGGCAGGCCCATCTTATTTATAGGCCTATTACATAATTCCACTAGTGCCCCTAGATATTTTAGGGCGAACCACCTAGCCTAAGGGCATTATGGTCCAACCCGATTTCTGTCGATCGAACAGCCATGCTTCCTGCACATATTTGCTTCGTCTCGACGCAACCTTTGTGATTTCGCCACGTGCCGCCCCATTCCTCCTCGGAACCTCTGCTCGGGTTATGAGGCCCAAACCCAAAACCCGTCCACCTGATGGTTTCGAGGCCCAAACCACCAAACCGTCCTCGAGTAGCGTACTCCATACGCCTCCCCCGCAACTCGACGCGTGTCACTTAATCCTTGACCGCCCGGACGCCAAGTCTTCTAGAGCCTCCGCTCGACTTGAACGTCCGCTGTCTTGACTCGATCAACACGGTCACTCCATGCACACTTGCGCTTGTCGATGTCCCCAGATGTCAGCCACCATGGATGCCCCGCCTCCTGGTCCCTCGGTCCAAGCCTCATGTCCACCCTTCACCACTCCCAGTTCATCGGCGCAGCCGCACGTCCCTACTTGACCTTCACCTCTCCATCGACCATCGCCTCCGACCTTCACACATGCGCACCACAAGTCAAGAGACATGTTGTACAACCCAACTACGCCATAGTTAGTTCACAAAATCAATCCAAGACGCGAATCACGTTGACAATCACTCATCACAAATCCGAACCACAGGGGCACATATGAACCTCGCACCGATGATCACCTTAGTCTTGCAAAGACAAAATCTGTGATTTTAAAAGTAGTGACAACCGAAAGAAGCATAGGACAAACCTGGTAACTTGCGGTAATGTGGTGTATTATAAAGATTTTACATATAATTTATCATAGAGATTTATCACCTAATGTCGATGATTAGAGACTTGCCTTTAGGTACTTTATTAAGGATCTTTGGCATAATTCTTGCTCATATGTCACTATTGAGTAGAATTGGAGATTTCAAACTTAGAAGGGAATCAAATTACCAAAATAAGCGGTCATAAGGTCACCAAACACTCCGCTTTAGACTACTATCATCAAAGAAATAATGCTCGGAGTTGCCTTTTTTGTTTTTTACAAAATAATAAAACCTTGGTCCTAACTGCCTGCTCCTCTCCTCAAACATGCGATATTTTAGAAATGAATTGGACAAATTTGTTACTGCTTGGACACACATATGGTCAAATCTTATATATAAACTTCAATTCACGTGCTCTTCTCTTCTAAACTTTGGTGCCAAATCTTCGCGCTTCTAAACATACATATATATACAAAATGACCAACAATTGGATAGAGCATCATTACATATATTTCATTAAAAAGAGATTGGACTAATCGACCATGTTTGATCGAGAAATTGCTTTCTCTTCTCCTTTGAAATTTATATATAATGGCTTGTATTCTTTTTTTCCTACATAGTCACATGTTGTTTTGGAGAGAGAGCGGCAGTTTGGAGAGAGAGCGGCAGTCACCCTCACCCGTGTGTGCGGTGTGCCTCCTCATCTTCCCACTCCGTCTCGTCCCCAAAATCCCCCCACCTGAACAGTGAACCCTCCTTGTCAACCCGCCGGCGGCCCCATGGCCCCCAAGCCGCCTACTCGAACGCCCTACGCGGCCATCGTCTCGGCCTCCTCCTCCTCATACGAGGAAGACACCTCCCCCTCCTCTGGCGACGAACACGAGGCAGAGCAGCGCCTCACCACAAACCGTTCAATCCTGGCGCCGGTGCGCCAAGAAGGCGACAGTTCCGAGGGTGATGATGAGGAGGACGACAGCGAAGACGAAGACGAGCCGGCCGGATTGTCCAATGTGACCGCCAAGCGGGGCCCACCCCCGCCGCCGCGTCTCCAAGGTCTGCCGGAGCCACACACGCCGCCCGAGGGGAATGTGCCTTCTCCCAAGCTCACCAAGCCGTCCCCAATGAAACGGACGGCGGCCGAGGCCGAGCTTGCCGAGCCGTCCCCGTCGAAGAAGAAGGCTCCAGCGGATGCCCCCTCCAAGTCGCCACCGCCGGAGAAGCCTGCAGCCTCCGGGGAGGACCACCACACCAAGTCCTCATCCGAGGAGGACTCCTCCTCCTCCTCCGGCGACGAACACGAGGCGGAGCAGCGCCCCACCACAAACCGTTCAATCCTGGCGCCGGCAGGCCAAGAAGGCGACAGCTATGAGAGTGATGACGAGGAGGAGGAGGACGACGAAGACGAAGGCGAGCCAGTCGGATCGTCCAATGTGGCCGCCAAGAGGGGCCCACCCCCGCCGCCGCAACTCCAAGGTGTGCCGGAGCCACAGACCCCACCCGAGGGGAATGTGCCTTCACCTAAGCTCACCAAACCGTCCCCAATGAAGCGGACGGTGGCCGCGGCCGAACTCGCTGAGCCGTCCCCGTCGAAGAAGAAGGCTCCAGCGGATGTCCCCTCCAAGTCGCCACCGCCAGAGAAGCCTGCAGCCGCCGGGGAGGACCACCACACCGAGTCGCCGCATATGGCAACGCCAGCGAAGGAGGTCGCCGAGTTGCCGGAGAAGGCAGTGGCAGCTAAGAAGGCCGCTAAGTTGCCGGGGAAGGCAGTGGCGGCCAAGAAGGTCGCCAAGCCGCGTCCACTGAAGAAGGCTGCGGCTTCTGCGGCCGGGAAGAAGGTCGCCAAGCAGCCCCCGGCTTCTAAGGCTGTGGCCAGGCAAGGAGCTAGGAAGGAGGTTGCTTCCAATGCAGAGAAGCATTTGCAGGAGAAGAGTGAGACCTATTGGTACCTCGCGCAGGCTGTGAAGGCTCTGGAGAGAGAACACAAAACTCCAGGCATGTACAATGCCGCATTCCTCAATATTGCTGATGGCAAGGCCGCCTTGCTCAACGCCAAGATCAAGAAGCAAAGGATGGCTGATGCCAAATTGTTTCTCAAGAGATGTGACATCAAGAGAGAGGTCATCAAGACTCTGTCCGACTTGATCAAGTGATCTCACAGGTTGATTCGCTCTCCTTCTCAGCGTGAATTGACAGCTAGTATTTTGGTTTTCAATTCAGTAATTTTTACAACAATAATTGTTTGCTGATCTGCCTAAGTAGTTAGTTTCTTGGTAGTACATGCTAATAGAAATGTAAAGAAAATAGTTTCGACAGTGGCTCATCATTATAAATGATCGTGTCCCTTAAAGTGAACGACCTTAATTACATAATGTAGTCATACCTATTTCTTTTTGTTCCATTCTGATTTACACTTCAGATGCTTATATGTGATGTAATAATATCCTCGTTTTGTTATTTTATCATCAATCTTTTCATTCCTGTATGAGATGGAGATACTTCATAGAGTTTTAACGCGTGATTTTAAGATTGGTTGGCCATTTTTCTCAAAAAAAAAAGATTGGTTGACCATTTCATGGCTAGAGGTTAAACTCAAGTGTTTCAGATTAATGAACTTTCATATGTTGGTAGGGCTACAACACGGAGATGCACTAGGTTGAGTTTTGATACACAATTTAAGATTTGTTGACTATTTGATGGCTAGTAGGTTAAACTCAAATGTTTTAAATTAATGAGCGTTCATATGTTGGGAGAGCACCAGGCAAAAAATAACAAATCTGATTACATGCCAGTGAATGTGCATGGTCATCTTGTGTGTTATATGTTATAAATTTAATTGGAACTTGCAATCAAATATTCAGAAGCTTACTGCTCCGGTACTCCCTTGGTCCCAGAATGTTAGGTAGTTTTTTTCATTAAGATAAGGCTTGAACCACCAATTTAATTTTTATGCATGAACATTCTTATTTGTTGCAAGTATAGAGCTAAGAAATGTTCTGAATTGACTTGCCTCTTGTTACAGGAATGAAGCAAGCTGCAAAGGTTGTGTGATGTTTTGGTGTCAGATGTCAAAATAATTGCACCTGGCTCTTTTGTTCTGTAGATTTTGCTTAGAATGTGAATCCTATGCTGCCAAGTGCCAATAATGCCTTGATGTTGTGCCTCATTTTGGTCCATGCTGGACGGGCAGTCAATGTTTGCTGTGCTCACTGCAGCTTATTTGGGCTGCCGCTGCAGCTCAACAACAAGACTCTACTATAGCTAAGTCGTGCAGCTTCAGCCACAGCAATCTCAGCCGAATCAGGCTGAATAGCTCTGGTAATTGTGGCTGTCGTGAGACGGCCTCCACGTAGCCCATATATATATATATATATAGATGGATATATAGTAATCTCTAGTTTATATTTTGCAAGATTGCCTGCAAAAGGGCTTTCTCTTGTTCATGAAACACCAAACTGATGGCGTTCATGTAGCATTGAAGTGATGGGAAGTTTAAATGCATGTTGATTCTGCTGTCTAAGAGACGCATGAATGAGTCAGAGCAGATTAAGTGAAGTTGATGATTTTTTCCTTTATTCTGTGATGATCGAGATCAGTCCATATTTGAGGGCTGGGCTGGTACTGATGGTTTTTCACTTGTATTCTGAAGCAGGCTTTACCTCCAGATGCCATCACCATGTCTGAGTGATGCTCTGAAGAACTATCAGTAGCATGGTTTCGATTTGCGGCAAGTCATGTTCTCAGTAATTTGATGTTAACCAAAATCATAAGTTGCAACAGCACCTAATTACGACTTGGGATTGGATTTAATAAGTTCTTCTCAACATTACAATGCACTACCTATACAGAGAATGTTGACAGTTCATGCAGTTTTTCAATGGCTGTTCCTCATTTCCATTAACAAGCAACTGAAAATCTGAAATACATGAGTGTTAGTACAGAAGACAAAGAACATAACAAAGAAAGACGAAAGGCCTAGCTATCTCCATGACAACTGCCCCCTGACTCAGAGATAACCATCACTAGAAGAAAGCAGAAGGCAAGCTACCAAATGTCATTATTACATACACGAGGCTAAAGATCAATCAAAACACGCCGACTCCAATTAGACGATTACAGCCAGCACAGACATCTTCATCCTCCAGGTTCGTTTCATGCAGTCACCGACTCACTGACTTCTGGACAACAGTCATTGAGACGTCTTCAGTCACCACCGAGATGTTCCTCGCCGCCTGCACATGATACAGACATCTTCCAGCAACATGTCCTGCACCTCCCCAGAGGCCCAGAGTGAAGATCTGTTCAGTGTTGCATAACAGCATAAGAGCACAAGCATATAGATCATAATAGATAATCTCAGATAGATTCTTGGTATACAAGCTTTATTCTCAGTTTTCCAAATCGCCCAACAAACTGCACTAACCCGACCTGAAATTGTGCGTACTTTAGGATCATGAGTAGGAAGTGGTAAATGATTTCACCTCACAAGATCAATGATTGATTTCCTGTTGATACCATTTTGACTTCACGTCATTTGGGCATATACACCTTCAACAAGTTTTTTTTTTTTTGGTGAACTTGGTGAACAAGTTTATTTAAGTACAACTATACACAATAGTAAACCCTCGTGCTGCGAAGTTTATGTAAAGGTGTCCGTCCTAATAGCCACAGTGTATTTCACTGCTTAGTCCTGAAGAACCCCATGGCACACTCACATGCTTGGAGCCATGCACTGACGCCTCTAGAGCACTCCAAAAGCTTGCCGTGCCCTGGCTACCCACTCCAGCCGCTGTTGGAAGAGCAAAGCCTCCAGAACCGCCGTCCATCTATGACATTTGCTCTAGTGTGGTGGGCAATCAGGTTTTTGGGAGTGCACATCTTCGACACAACTGCTCACTGTTTGACTACTTCGCAATGAGACGTTTCAATACAGGTGCGAGTACTTCCCGGTGGTCATTCGTAGGACGACACTGCTTATATTGTCCTATACCAGTCATGGACAAGTGCGATCGATGCTACTGATACTTCCAACATTGGTCTCGCCTAAACATGTATCTATGGCAAAACCGCCTAAATTATACCAACTCAAAGTTTTTCTGGTGCCCTCATAGGATCCCGAATCATCCATCTTTTACAAGTCATACAAAACATTCACTTTTTTCAACTCATAGAATCATCATCAAGAATTCACAACATTATAGCTTTTGTTATAAATATAGATAGGGATAAATATGTAATTTCTATTTAACATTGATCTTCTCCAAGAATCCTACACTTATTTTACGACGGAGGAAGTACTTGTGTTTGATCTGAACGCAAATACAAATTCACTGGAACTCAAAACATGATATATATGCTGAACAATGGCCTTGACATCCGTTTCGGATGGTTCTTGACAGCATCTACAAGATTAAAAGGTGGGGGACTGGGGGATGTGAACAAAGTTCCAGAATGACATGTATTTTGGAAGAAATTGAGCAACTTAGTAATGGATTCTGGTCTATTTGGTTGGTGACCAAAACCTGCCACGCCAAAAGTTCGTCGCGCCATAGTTTCTTCGGCAGTTGTTTGGTTCACTGCCACTGTTGACGGTCCATAACACCAATTATAAACCGTCAACATAACTTGTATTTATACTTAATTCCATCACCAAAAATAGGTATAGAGGTTTAAAATAATAAATTCCACGAGTTTTGGTGAATCTGTGTTTTTAGCAGGGTTTATCTAGAAAACCGTCAAGAGGGACCTATTCGTCAAAGGAAATTATGGAATTCCGCCCATAAATAACGTTGGAAGATTCTAGAAGACTCCAGAAGGCTCTCCACCTAAGCAGATCCCGAGGGGCTGCCATGTGGGGCCGGTCGGCCCCACCTACAGGCCGTCCGGCCCCTAGGCCCACCTGTTAGCCTCCGCGTCGCAATGCCAGTTCTCCACCGCCTCCTAGGTTGCATCTACATCGTCCTTTAAGTCGGTTTGATCTAAGGGCTCATGTTGGACTCTTCGGCCTATATAAACAGCCCTATACCCCCTCCCTGGGCCATCCTGAAATCTTAATTCATATCAGAGGATTAGAGCTAGCTATCAAGAGAAGATTATTCCTCCAAAGGATCTAGTCTTATAAATGATAGTGAGATAGAGACTGAGGGAAGAGTTTGGAGGAGGTGCCGGCCTGTCGGTGCTCTCTCTACGGCTTGTACCTTGGCGGATCCAATTTCTATTTGAGCTTGCCTTCGAGATATCTCTGGTAATCAACTTCTGATTCAAGTAAGCATCTTGTTTATATTGTTCTTCAGGTTTACGACTCTCTTTTGAGTGCTTTATTCTCTTCCTAGGGGGGTAGAGTATTAATCGTAAGTGTAAGCGTGGTGCTTAGACTTAGGTTAATCGTGGATGCACCCTGCATTCTGAAAGATGGTAGATCGCGTGAGTGACATAAGTTCTATATAACATGTACTATATAGCTTCGTTGATCCTTTGTAGTCCACCTCCCATCTGTAGGCGCACGTAGGACGCAGTTGCGAAGGAAAGCATCCTCTGCTGGTGTCTTTCCCCAGTAATGTCCCTAGTTGAATAGTAGAAGACGTAAGCTTACCCAAGTCGAAACTAGAGAACTTTAGTTATCCTCTCTATGCTCCTATTTATCCTAACCTTGTTGCTACCCTTAGTTAAGTTAGACCGTAGTTAGTCTCACACATTTCCCTATGGATACGATACTTGGAATACCTCCGGGTAAAAGCTACAGCGGTATCCGTGCGCTTGTGGATTTATCTGTGTGCGTTAAAATATACCAACAGCCACACCTATGGCACGCCAAACTTTCTTAGCACCCTACCCCACATCTCATAGACTCATTTTCATGCCAAACCTTGCCACAAGTGTGGCTTCGAGGGCGTGTTTGGTTGGAGACCAATGGCATGTTTGGTTCGTGACCAGAATGTGCCATGCCCTAGGTATTCTTATTACAGGATCAAAGTATATATATATCTGACTATAGCTAAGACTAACTCTACTCTTGTGCACTTTGGGACACCACTTAGACAGTAGAGCACCACGAAGGAGAACTCTACCAATGCGACTATGATCCTATAATTTAAGAACCTACTCAAATCGGTATGGACTACAAAGGATAGATGGGGATGTCACCTCCCGCTAC